TTTGTGGATGTTCCTTCAAAATGGTATAAAGGCTATTTTCGCGTTAGTATGGCGGAATATTAGATAGAACAGTATACATGTTTATGTCATGCTATCGTCTAACTTCTATTCACGTAATTTCTAAATTAAGACAATATAGCTCCTTTATTTGTTCCTCGTGAACGGAGCTTCTAATATTGCTACCTGGCCACCACTATGAAGTCGTTTGGTGTCGCCACTACTTGCGCAATTTACTGGTTGAGCTTAAGTCCAGACCATTACGTTGACTGATAGGCCTATAATGTTAAGAGGGTTGGATGGCCGAATGGTTAGCACGTGCGCGCTGTATCATAAGGTCTGTCATTGAGTGGTTTCGATTCCCCGGTTGTACGTGACAAGGAGTAGGGTCGCCTGTCCAGTCAAACTCAGTAGTTGCCTCTACCTCCAGCAGGGGTCTAAGACCACCACTCTAAGACCACCACTCCCTACAGCCTTACTATCAGCCTCCCAGGCAGCCTCTTTTCCACCAAGTTCGATCCACTCAAAGTTGTAATCTGCATCCACCTGAGCCATTAGTGTTAGCAATGTGTTTGCCATCTACAGCCTCAATGGAGTCGGGGATGTTCTATCTCTGGTTAAACTTTTTTATTTCAATAATTCGTTTGCGCGTAGGGGTCTTAAGCAGTGGGAGGAATACGGAGGACCCGGAGAAAACCCACGAGGCTGGATAGGCGACCCTACTCCTTGTCACGTACAACCGGGGAATCAAAACCACGCCATTTGACTCAGTGACAGACCTTATGATATAGTGCGCACGTTTTGTTTTATACTCAGCTAAATTAAAAACTTTACACTCGGGATTTTTGGGACTAGATGTTTAATATTTGGGTTTAAGGCAACTATTTTAGTGTTATGTTGTGCACAGACGACCTTGACATCAACAGAAAGCAAGAATACGTCTCGCCGAAAGTCCTTGACATTGATAACGTTCGTGATGTCACAGTACCCCCCCCCCCCCCCAAAAAAAAAAAAATTAATTCACAGACTTAGAGAACAATCGAAATATAGTGTTTAGTAACGGTTGTGGCCTCCTCTAGCGTCTCGTTCTGCCACACAACGTCTTCTCATGGATCTCAGAACATTACTAAACACTACCCGAGGAAGACGTCGCCACTGCTCAGCAAGAGCATGTTGAAGGTCCTGCAACGTCAGTGGTGGATTCACTTACTGACGAACACGTCGACCCAGTTCGTCCCAGATGTGTTCAATAGGATTAAGGTCGGGGCTAAGCGACGGCCAATCCAGGACTTGGACACCGGCATTTCTTAAAAAATTCTGGGTAGCAATTGCTGTATGGGGTCGAGCATTGTCTTGTTGAAATATTAGTCCAGGCCCATGTCTCTGCATAAACGGAAGAAAAACAGGTTGCAAAATCTGATCCCTGTACTGGACAGCATTTAAGTTCCCTTGGACAACAACAAGAGGAGAACGTCCATGTGCACAAAAAGAACCCTAAACCATGACGCTGCCGCCACCAAATCGGTCAACTTCTCTGACGCATACTTGAGCGTAACGTTCACCTCGTCTGCGGTACACTCGGACCCTGCCATCGGCAAATCTCAAAGTGAATCGAGATTCGTCACTAAAGACAACCGAATTCCACTGTGATGAAGAGGTGTCAATATTGGTCCATTATAGGGCCTCCGAGCTCGAAGACCAGCAGCCTGCAAGCGATTTCGAACAGTTTGTGCAGTTACCCTTCCACCAAACATCTCTCTACTTGTGGAGGTTGCAGTGACAAATCTGTTTCTAAGATGACGTAATCGTATTGCTTGATCTTCCTGGAGTGACGGTCGGCAATAGTTCCAGTTTGAAGCACTCTCATTCTAAGATTAATTATTGTCTGGCGTGAACAATTAAAGGCTCTTGCAACAGTGACCACAGACTGACCAGCATAGAGCCTACCTATAGCACGTAGACGTTCTACATTTGAAAGATGAAAATAACAATTTTAATTTGTTTTTCCAGTTCAAGTTACGTGTGCGTGTTCAGTTTAAGCAAACTTGCATCGATTGACCTCACGAGTTTGTGTTTGCACGTGTTTTTCAGGTTTTTCATCTTTATATGCTCAAAAGTCACGTGATCCGCGTGACTTTACAATTTTATGTAATTAAAGGCTTCCTACTACTTACTATCGTTAGAAATACTTTAAAATTTATTTGACTTAGGCCTACCAGAAAAAAAAATTTGTTGAAATTCATCAGTGTCATGTTTTTAATTTGGCTGAGTATATATTGGTTTAATCTAGTCTATAACATCGCTATCCATGAAGTTTCGTGCCGTTAGTGCAGTCTTAAATAATATATAGTAAGTTAAGTCAGGTAGGGAAAATGAAGGCATCACTAATAAAAACTTCTTCGCGAGCCACACAAGCAATTTATCTCGGTCTGCTTCAAAGACCTTTTGTCTCCATATTTGGGTTTTTAAATGGTAGATCTTTAAACCAATTCAAATATTTATCATTATAAATAGAGGATATTTGTCGTTTTAGAGTGAATAACATATTTTATTTCATCGAGAAGCAAGAAAACTTATATTTTCACGAATGCGTAGCATGAGTGAAAATATAAACGTTTTCTTGCTTCTTGCTACGCATTCGTGAAAATATAAACGTTTTCTTGCTTCGAGATGAAATAAAATATGTTATTCACGACAAAACGACAACTATTCTATTTATTTTATGATATTACAATCATTTTAGGTAAAAACAACATGGACTACTGCTAGCCAGTGGAATAACACTTTTATTTCACGGATAAAACGCGGTATTCCACTACTGATCATAAAATAAAATGACATATTTGTTTTTAGGCGGTTAATATAATGTAGATTAGCATATGCACATATAATAGTGAGTGAAGAAGGGCCGCACATCAGACAAACAATTACAAAACAAATCTACGGACAGGACACAATATACACAACAAACGCACATATCGGATCATTTGGTTACAATTAATAGTGAAATTTATGTTCCAGATCTACTGTAAAAATAAATAAAGAAAAAAATCCCCAAGCCCTACAATTTCCTAAAAAAAGGAATAGCTTGTCGTATATCTGACACCAATTAGGTTACTTAAGAAATAAATATAACTACGATAATTTCGGATATCAAAACAATGCTAAACATGTGGAAGAAACAAGATTATATGACATTAGTAGGTAAAATTTGGGTTATAAAAACAATCTGTATACTCAACATTAACAATAACTATTCCAGATTGTATTATATTGGATTATGTACAACTATCAGTGGTCAGGCCCAGATAAAATAAAAGAATATATACACCATCTCATCCTTCAATGCATGTATTCGCAAATAATATTGCAAAAAAAGCCTGAAATATTAGTCTATATATCCATGTTAACAATATAAATAAACATGTAAGTATAATAACACTCGAGAATCCAAAGAATAAAAAATAATTAAATATTGTCAATTTACTTATATTATTATCAAAATATTATATCTATATCTATTCATGTAAGAATACCAGTAGTTACATTTAATACATAGAATCTAAAAGTAGAGGCCTGTCTCATTTACTCAGAATTCTCTAAATTGTAAAAAACCGACCGAATATTGAACAAATAAGGAATATTTAGAATGATGTTATGCCCCGCTTTCACGTGGGTTACAAATGTCACCCCGAATAGTGGCGAATCAAAATTAATCAAAATTAGTGGCGATTCGGGGAGAAAAAAAACGTAGATCCGTCTTATATTTATTAGGTTCTTACACATTCGTCTTGTTCGTAGTAGATCGGCCACGAAGGTTTTTGTTTGTTTCGTGGCCTATCTACGAATTTCGGAATTCTTAGATCCGTCGTAGTCCTTTCTATCGTCCGTAACAGCTTCCTATTCGATTATTTGAAATTTTCGTGAAAAGAGTAGTCTATTCGTAACTGAATTCGGCATATTCGTAAGCAATCAGGCATATTCGTAACTGATTCGTTACGAATTCGTTGACGATTCTTTCATTTCGTACCTTTATCGTAATCCTGTACCTTGACATTCGGCTTATTTTTTACCCGATATACCTACGAATTATCCTAACTCTTTCGTAAACTTCTACTCCCGATTCTTTACGATCTTTTTCATTGTTATTTCGGTTAGCCACAATTCGTGGCATACGTAGCCAACGTGAAAGCGGGACATTAGACTATACATAGAATGTACTTAGAATAGATTCCGGTAGAAATCCAGATGCATTCGAAGTGCATTCCGGCGCATTTGGGACATTCTGACAGGATTTGAAGGGACTTACCGTTTCGAGGAAAATTGTGACCCCTAGAGTGTCCACAAATGTCCGGACAGGGACGACGACATAATACGTTTACGTGGAAATTTGGGCGTATAAAAATGAGTTTAAATATTTTCCAAACACCCCCTTGGTTATACTCCCAAATGATATCTAAAGAATTAAACCTTCCACGTATTTCATCTGAAACATGATTAGCGAGGAATTAAAATTTCTTCCACAATTTTGATTTTTGAAAAGGTAGAGTGACTTTGGGCGAGGTTGAACAGCGCGTTAATTCATTGTGTTCACATAAAGGAAATAAAAAAAACCCCATCAGAAACGAATATTTGGGATAGTTTGCTATCAGATATTGGGATTGGTTTAAATTAAAGACCTATGCCATTTGTTTATCCGTTAATCCTCGAAAATTTGTCAAAGGATGTAAATGATGAACAAGATTGAATTTGAAATTGAAGAAAAATAGACAAAGCTAAAGGCGTAACAAACTATATAAAGAGTGTTGACACACGTAATAACATTGATGTAACAATAAGGGGCTTTACCTATACTGTAACTTTCAATGCATGCTTGTTCAGAAAATTATGGGAAGCAAACAAAGCGTCCTTTATTCCAAGCTATTGAATAGCGCTTTTCACGCCAAATTATTATCTCATTGCTGTATAAAAGAGCGCCGATGTCTCGGATATTCAGACAACGAAAGCGATATACTCAGGTCTCATAGTAGTTATAACACGTAAGTAACATCTATATTAAATAATACATTAAGGTGCTTTTTAAATATTTGAAAGAAAAAAATGCCTGACTTCAGCGTTAGTTATAAAAATGATCAATTTTGCCCTTTTTTAAATACTTTTTATTTGATTTTTACTTGTACCTTTTTTAAATATTGGAAGCGGTATAGAGCGGAATGCATGTATATAATTAGTACCTTGTGTAGGAAGTCATCACGCTTATAGCTAGCGCAGCATTTTGATCGAAGCTCCTGTGTAGAAGGTAAGTTTGGAACGAAGGCCGCTAAACGCAAAAAGTACTGAGTTATTTGAACTGCTATTGAAAAACGATTCATGTGTCCTAGAAAGAATGTCTGAAATTCTCTCGTGTTCCTTCTAGCGAAAACAGAAATAAAGGAAACCATTTTTGGGTATAAGTATGGTGTACGTGTAAATTATTCTAGATACAGATTCAAGAAATCTTGAAATAATTGCACTGGAGGGGCAATTACTCCGGAACATAATATGGAACTTTTAGAGGATGTTTACAATGCAGATCTGTGTCTGTTTTCAATGTTCTAGGTTCCATTAGGGTTTTAACATGGCCTGTTTTAGCCGCGATTTAAAACGATTACACGGTGCTACTTGTAACTTTAATGGGGGTATTTTGTCGTTTTCATCATGCCTTGTAGTATTTACAAAATGTCAACTAAACAGCTAGACCACAATATGAAAATATAACACTAAATTATAAGTAATCACGGAAACAGAACAAAATAAAAACTTTAACTGTAATATTTTAGAAATAAATCATATAAATTGGCAATTTTACATAGCTAAATATACTAATACCATATGTAAGTAAGAAGTTACATGCATTAAAATTTACATATTACTAGGATAAGAGTTAGAATTATGTCGTACATTCCGCTCCATAACAAAAACCATGGTAGATTTTATAATAAAGTCAATGTCAGCTAAAATCCGTGGTGTAAATGAGTATATTGGTTTGTATCAATAGTAGGCCTACCCAAATAAATTCGCATTTTTAGGAGAGTATATTTTTTTTCTTTTCTTTGCAGGATATTTATCAAATGTAGCTTATATGAGATCAATAATGATCAAGTCTAACAGGCAAAAGTAGTCTGATCGCTATAGCAAAAACTCGAAGTAATGTTTAGCTGCATGGCGCCTTTCAATTTGTCGTCATGTGTTATCGCCCCCAATATTCGATACTATTGGTAAAATTTTACCAATTCTGCTAAACGTGCAAGAACATTGAAATGAAACGGAGTTTTAGCGTCCTACTTTTCTGCACCCACCGGGATAATTATCACGGACATACTTTGTGGGGAAAATTTTGTTTGGACGACAGTGGCGTTTCAGCCAACTCTGTTACAGTATTGCTTTCTATCAGGTTCAAATGACAAGACTAGTTTCAGCTTCATACAATACTTTTTATTCTTCTATAAACATATTTACAATACTCGTTCTACAATACTTAATCCACAGGTTTTTCATCTGGTAGCAGTCTTGTTCCCAGATCGGCTCTCTGGGCTCGGTTGTTGATAAAACATTTAGTCTGAATTTAATTATTTACTGGGCCGGATCGATGTCCAGTTTTGAATTTGGATACCACACCCATGCCCGTGACCTGATTGGTCAGTATTAGTCTGGGGTGGGTTGATGCCCCGAACGGACAGATAGTCGTTGACCAATCTGCTATGGCCAGGTATTATATTTCAGATTCAATTATGGCCGGAGATTACAGCTGGTCATTATATAATAAACAGAGAGAGAGAGAAAGAGAGAGAAATCGGGTTTAACGTCCACTCAACACAAACTAGGTCATTTCGGGACTAACACATGGTGTAATTTTATTTCAATACTTCGCTTGCGCGTAGGGGTCTTTAGCTGTGGGAGGAAAGCGGAGGACCCGGAGAAAACCCACGAGGTTGGACAGGCGACCCTACTCTCTGTCTCGTATTTTGTAATTATCTACTGTAGAATCGTCAACAAAATGTCTGAATCCTTTCTAAATCATAGCTTTCAATCATTTATTATCTGTAATAGTCCGTTAAACATTGCTATCTGTCTTTCTTTTGTAATTGTTTATAGACTTTATGATATTAAAGAAATTGACCATATTCCGCTAAGTAATTTTCTTAGATTGTAGCCAGTTTATAATTTTCTTGGGTTGTTACAGCGCTATCGCCGTGAAAACGTTAGTATAAAAATGTAGTTTTGTTTTGCCATCTTTAATTTCAGTTGTATATAAATATATATTTGTAGCATTTAGCAAATAACAAACTATTATAATTACATTGATTGTCGGCCATGTCGCCAATGATTGGTTTTCTATTTCTTGTGAATATATAATACGTGTTCCTCCTTTGCTTTTGCTGAACAGGAATTTCAAAATCGCCCCATATCTTTGTGCCTGTTCCCTTTGAGCATTATTATTGATATTTGCAGTACATATTTCAGAAGTAAACTATGAAGAATTTTATGTATTTTCGTATCGCCATATTGATTTTTTGTTTCGCCGAGGTCAACTCAGCAACAAGCAAGTATTCATTATTTTTTTTAGTAATTAAATAGCTTTACGTATATTATCAATATTTTTTTAATCGACCATAAATATTGGCCATAAATAATGCATACCTAGACTAAACTTGATTTTTTTCAAATAAAACAAAACTCTCAATAAAATATGTCTACAAATGTCAGTTCGGATATAATTTAAAAGGAACTAAAATTCATTGTACTATATAAAATTAAATTTATTTCTCAGTAGCATTAGCGAATAAAGCCAAACTTAAGGACAGTTTTTAACCAAAATATAATTTTCAGTTCCCGCTAATATATGTGATAATTGTGATTTGGAGAATGGGGTTGGCTATAAGGCCAATCCAGACAACTGCAGAAGATTCGTCCAATGCAAAAAAGAAGATTTTGGTAGTAATATCATTGTTTATGATAAAGCTTGTAACGATGGACTCTTCTGGAATCAGAAATTGAAGAATTGTGTACCATTTCCGAAATCTGATTGCTATAAAGGTAAGTTACAAAAATTTGACACCATTCAAAAAAAAAGAAAAAAAAAGGGAAGACAGGGCTTGATAATATTATTCCATCAAGAGCAAAAAACCCAATCAGCAGGTTTATCGATCCCTTGGCAGTGCAATCGTCTGGGGGATTACGTGGCTAAGTGGGTAAGACGCTAGCTCGCTAGCCTGGAGGTCGGGTGTTCGATCCCTGCATTGGCCGAGAAAGTTCATCCAGATTTTCCGGCGTGGTTCTCCCTTGTCAGTGATGCAGGACGGAGGGGCTGACAAGGAAAGCTGTCAAGTCGTTCGGATGGGACGAAAAACCGAGGTCCCGTGTATACATTGGCGTGCACGTAAAAGATCCCTTGGCAGTTGGAATTCGATATAAGAGTAGGCCGTAGTGCCGCTGTCCGGGCAAAATTTCCCTCATAGCACACTGTATAGCGTATGCCCGTCTTCATTAGCCCAGGTTAGGAGCAGAACAGTAGGACGTTAAACTCCATTTCATTTCATTTCGCAATCGTCTGGCTATGAAAATGGCCTTGAAGGATTTATAGAATTACCTCTATATGTAGATATAGGAATGGTGTGTCTTATTCAAGGACAGCAAAATAATTCCATCAAACACTTTAACAATCGTCTTTGAATTACTGTGTTACGATGGTTACAACTCTACGCAAAGTCAAATACCTACGTTGCGTATCAAGTCACACCAATAACTGCGCCCTTACTATCAGTATATCTGACGTATACTCTTCAAAACAAGTAGGGGATATTCAGAAACAATACATAACTTCGGAAATGCACTGCTGTTTTTTATTAGAGTAACCAGTGTATGTTAATAACAGGCCAATTCCCTACACATGAACATAAACAGTTCATATGGGCGGCTTATCTGACGGCCCCATTTCACTAGCAAATGGACGTTTTTGATTTTTGTCTTAATAATGAGTAATTGCTCTACTAATCCTCAGACATTCGGCAATTCGTCGTGGCATGCTCCTTATCAGCCGCCCAATCACGATTTGGGGCAATCTCACCCACTCCTCTTGCAGTGCCACGGCCAATTCTTGCAGTGTTGTCGGTTGACATTGACGTCGACGAACACGTCTCCCGGTCATGCCCCAGACATGCTCTGTAGTAGGGGAAAGGTCAGGACTCATGGCTGGCCAAGGCATATGGACAATATGGTGACGCTAGAGGTAGTCATTCACAACATGAGCGCGGCCGACCTGCACGTTGATCATAGGGCAGAACTATTGCTACCAGGATGTGGTCACGGCAGTACAAACCAGTGACCCTTCCTTGAACAATATGCAAGTCTGTTCTGCCAGTCATGGTGAATCCTCCCCACACCATAACAGACCCACGCCCGAATCTGTCATGCTGTCTGGCATTAACGTCAGCATGACGCTCATATACACGCCTCCAAGCGCGAGCACGCCTATCGGTGAAATCCATAGTAAATTTGGACTCATCTGAGAACATTACACGCGCCCATCGACGATTGCCCCAATTTCTACGCTGCCTACACCATTGACGCCCATTTGCCATGTGCTGGCGAGTTAATGGAGGCACAACACGCGGTCGACGCGCATGCAAATTGCTAATCGTTTGGGGTGTAACTCGAATTCCTGTAACTTGGTACAAATTTACAGAAAGCTGATTGGCCGTTTGTCCTCGATTTCGCAGGACCTGTGTACGAATGTATCAATCCTGGGCTTGTGTAGTGACTCTGGGACGATCTGAACAAGGTATATCATCAACATTGTGTGTTTGTTGGTACCGGTTCCACGGTCTGCTGATCACAGACTATGACACATTAAGCATGTTGGCTACTGCTCGCTGCGTAGAACCCATTTGAAGCATGCCAATAGCACGTAGACCTTCATCACGTTGAAGACGTCTCATTACAAATTAAACGTAACACACTAAAGCAAAGATACGCTAAACAGTAAATCTTATGCAAGAACCGATAGGAAAGCAAACATGAATAGGATAAACCAGCACGCGGCAGTTTTCATCAACCCTTCCTTGAAGTGTCAAATTTGACAATGAACCCCTCCAGTGTGCACTATTGCGTGTCGCAAGTGCAGCTCAGTGGTTCTGTTGGGTTGATAAGTTCTTCGTCTGTGAACACACTCTCAATGCATGTCACAACCTGCATGTGTATTTGCATTTCAATATCCCCTACTTTTTTTTGAAGAGTATATAATGATTATCTTGATTTATGCTCATCAACATATATATACTTTTCTTTTTCTTGATCATAATCAAGATTAATTTAATTATTATTGTATATGTTATAGCGCACAGCTGTATATAAGAATCCTTTACAGAATAAGTAATACTGTAATGTATACGGTTGTAGTTTTTCACTATTCACTAATAGTAATCTTATAGTACGACGTAAGTAACGTACTTGCTGGTGAAAATGATTTTTTTGTTGCTTCATTGTTTAAGTTAATGTTTTTTTTAGGTGAATGTAATGGTAATAAAACGCTCCTATTTTATTCTATGAGTTGTGGAGCATACTTCAACTGTACCAATGGGATTGTTGAGACCAAATGTTGTCCACAGAGCACCCCCGAATTTGACGCCTTCTCGAAAACATGCAAAGCTTCTACTACGTGCCCCTTCCAGTGCACCGACGATGAAAAAACACCTCGATCTTTAGGTAAGTTGTTGTTACTGGCCTTAGCTACAGTATGGTGTAATAAAACAGTACCATATAAGTGTGTTACGTAATAAAAAAAGTACTACAATAGTTTGTTAGCTACGTAATACAACAATACTAAAATAGTTTGGTACTGTGTGAACCATCGTAAATTTTAAACGGATTTCTTCGATTATGAACAAACTACTTAACTTTGGTTATTATAAACTTACCTGTGTGTTTGTAATGAACTCCCGTTCGATAAAATCCATTGCACAACTAATTATCACAACGATGAGAACAAGTTCTCTCTTGAAAAATTTGAAAATTTACTTGTAATTTCGACAGAGTCGATGTCAACAATGTCTTCGTGACATATTGGTCGAATCCAATATACCTGTTGCGGGGGTTGGTTAACATTGAAAGATAGTTTGACAGCGCGATCATTTTGATCGTATATGGGTTTGGGCGACGAAAAATATCAATTGAAGGCAATTACATAGGAGATTTATATGGAAACCATTGATCGCCAGTCTATCAAATTTTCTTCACAATTAAAATATCACTGATTGCACGGATACTCCTAAAAATAAAGTCATGTATAAACTATAAATATTCTATCTTCTTTATGTCATAAATAATTTAACAAGGATCATGAAGCTTACCTCCGAATTCTCTGAGTGTATTTTTAATTTTATACGCATTCTTTCGATCGAATAATAACCGCTTCAGTAACATCTTTAAGCGTGTTGCGGCAGCCCTCAGCGTGTCTATTGGGTGCCCGGGTGGGTATATAATGCTACTAAGCCCGTATGACCCCGTAAGAAGCGGAACATTAATTCTCGATTTGACAGTTTTGACCGAAGTGTGATAAAGCCCGTAAAACGAATGTATAGTTGTGTTTGTGCGGCATGCGTGTTCAAAAGTAAATAATCCCATCCGAGTCGCTAATCAATAATAATTAGAACAAAATATTTCAAAAAGTAAAGCTATAAAATTTTCAGAGATTTTACTAGAATGTAAAAGACGGTAAATAAATACAGGAATGCGGGTAGTTATGTGTGCGAACGCTCAAACTCAATGCCAATTGTCGTAGGTATCCAGACCACTCGGACCAAAGACTACTCGGACTAAGACCAGTCGGACCAAAACAAGACCAGTCGGACCAATTAAATTATATTATAAGGCTAGGCAATATGCTATTTATTTATTATTAAACCACAATACAAAGAAGCAAATAATTGTTATACGGAATTCTTATATTTAGAGTTGTTTGGTTCAATTTTGTGTACGGAAAATAAATCAACGATTAGTTTTAAAATTAATTAATAATGGTGCCAAAAAAAAATATCAATCTAATTTTTCTTTACTCTTGAAATGAGACTCGGTATGTCCAGACTTTTGACAGTTTCTACATATACGGGTATACTGTTCTTGTCTGATAGCCTAATTTTACTTTTTCCACATTCGCGGTATCCCCAGTGGTTTCATTCCGTTCTACCCCACTAACCCCTGGGTTACTATATATGGGGGGGGGGGGAGACACGTTTTCAAGTTATCCGCCCTTGATGCGTTAATATAAACAGCACATAATAATACGAAGACCGGACGTTTATATGCCCCTTATTAAACGTGACTGCAAGTGTGGTTCTCGATATTTTGCGATTTGGAATACAATTATCAATTTATTCAAACAACACGTTATTATTAGTTCGAGTAGTCATATTAAAACACACACAATTAGCAATTTATTCAAATAACACTTTATTATTGGTTCGAGTAGTCATATTAAAATAAACACAATTATCAATTTATTAAAATAACACTTTATTATTGGTTCGAGTAATCATATTAAAACAAACGCAATTATCAATTTATTAAAACAACACTTTATTATTGGTCCGAGTCGTCTTTCTGTTGGGTCCGAATAGTCTTTTTGTATGGTCCGAGTAGTCTATTTGTTTGGGCTGAGTGGTCTATCAGTTGGTCCGACTGGTCTTGAACCGGGTGGTCTTTGGTCCGAGTGGTCATGGATTCTTCTCGTAATTGTACTTGAATTTCTGTCACCCCTAATACGAAATGATATCTTCCGCAGAGTGACGTAACCATCTTCCATATTGGTATTTTTCTCTGGGAAAAGTTTGTGATATTTCAATTTTTCAAGAGAGAACTTGTTTTCATCGTTGTGATAATTAGTTGTGCAATGGATTTTATCGAACGGGAGTTCATTACAAACACACAGGTAAGTTTATAATAACCAAAGTTAAGTAGTTTGTTCATAATCGAAGAAATCCGTTTAAAATTTACCAAGACTCAGACAGTAGCTGTATTATACAACAGTACTACAATAGTTTGTTACCTTCTTTATACAACAATGCTGCAAACTGATGTTAGATGCATGCGGAGAACCATACCCCTCGCAGTGTTTCCTTTGATTAGACCTAATTTCACTAAACACTGCCAGATTCACCGCAAATTTCTGTTCCAAATTACAGCGTTACAAACAATATTTTCACCATCTCTAAATACATTTAATCGACTTGGTGAAGATCCTAGATCAAAAAGACGGACTGTCATGTTACGTGGCATATTGTGTTTCAACAAACTGGATAGGAATACGACTTGTGCTTTTCTGATATAATAATAATAATATTTCATGCATTTTCTTCGTAAATATGGATACATATTATTGAATACATAACACAGGTACGTGGGCAGTAATTAATATTGGTACAAGCAGACAAGTTTACAGAATTTATATCGGAGGCTTATATCGGAGATTTGAGTAAAAGAATTTTCGCTCCAATAGCGAACTTCAGCGACGGGACAATTTACCTATGCTGGTATCGATGTTTGCTCCCGATACATCCAAGTGTACAATTTTACTTGAATCAGTAGGCTTACTAACAAACATTGATATTTAATGAAGAGGTCACACCCGTCAGTCATACAAATTCTCTTGAGGAGAGATTTAGTTGGGCGGTCAAAAAACAAGATTTCGCTCTCAGTACAGCAAAGACTAGCGAGGAATTTCTCGGACCATTGTTTCCGGAATATAGCGGAGAGCATACTTTTGTATTGTTTCTGAATATCCCCTACTTTTTTTGAAGAGTATATATTGACACACTGTTGCTGCTAAAATTAATCGAGTTTATTTTTCTCGTCAGAATGCACAAATACATACAAGACCCACACTATGGCTAATGGTATAATCAATCCATGTAAATATGAGGTCCATGAAGGTGCTTATGTCAAGATCATGGATTGTGCTGCAGGAACCAACTTCGACTCTGCTAAGTGTCTGTGCTCTATTGTTCCTCAAGGTCCCTGTCCTGATCTGAAAGTTGGTAAGTTTGAAACTTAACGGTGTTTTTTCTTTTAATGTTTTTCTGGTCTACAGTTTACAAAAATCACATTTTTTGAGACATATTTTATTCACTATAAATGAATGGGAAATTGGGGAACAGGCAAAATGCCTATGTCAGACCCCTATCCCTATTTACAATATAAATTATATACTAATAATGAAAACCAGTATACACTATATACAACATATACAACCGGTACTTAGTTGAATGCACCTAAAGTTGTATAGTATGTAATAATAATAATAATAATAATGTAAAATCATTTATTTAAATTGAAGTATGAGTGAACTGTTTTAAAGATAAGATTATTAATTTCATTGTCGGAAGCACGCAGGCCGTAGAGTAGAGTTTTGCTGTTCTTATACTCATCAGGTAATGTAGAAATAGTTTTTCGTCGAAAAGTATTGAAGTTTGGACAGTGTAAAAGATAGTGTTCACTATCCTCGAAAGGGTGACCACAATTGCAAGCTGGATTTTCAGAGACGTGTCTAAAAAAACATGTAACCATTTAAGACACTGCATGGAAGTCGTAGTTTGCTGTAGATAATTTCAATTTTTCTAGAACCAATGTAGAAATGTTTTGGGGGTTTGGGGTCTCGTTCGGAAAGCTTTTGTTTAAAAGAAGAGAGACTTGTTGAACTTTTTGTTGACAGGTCTAACCGGTTCCATTCCTTTATTGCAGATAATGCAAATGAGTTGGAAATAATTTAGTTATACATCGATATTCAGTGAAGTCATTTATATTTCTAAAATTGTACGAAGATTTTCTAGAAGATTGAATTGTGGCTCGTACCTTTAACCGCTCCGCAGATTTGCATAGTACGTCCAGTTGCAGGTGCTCAAGTTGATTTGTTAGTAGTTCTGAACACACACCCCAAGCGATATCCGCGTATTAAAGTGGGGCAGAATCTAAGCGTTATATATAGATAGTCAGTAAGGATCTACGTTTCAAGCGATATTTCAGAGACCTCAAGCAGTTTACTAGCTTTTATACTTTTTTGCATAAATTTCCTATGTGGACATCCCACTTTCCGTTATTTTGAAACGTAACGCCTAAATGTTTGTGGAAAGAGACTTAATTTATATTAGTGGTGACTTTGTAATTTTCGTCGTTGTGCTAATAGTCAAAGTTTCAGTTTTAAAGGGATTAAAGCTAACCAGCCAGGTTTTAGCCCAGTCATTAATAGTTACGAGATCAGTATTAAGAGTATTGGCGCCTGCAATCGGGTCATAGATTTTGAGGAAGAGCGAGGTATAATCGGCAAATAATCTGACATTAGATTTAATATTCTCAACAATATCGTTGATGTAAATGAGGAAAAGCAAAGGACCGAGAACGGAACCACGGGGGACACCAGCAGGGATTACTTTGGCTTCAGTGGCAACTCCATTCAGTACTACTTTCTGTTGTCTGTTTGAAAGGTAATTGCATAGTACTGTCTCCTTGAAGAAATCCGCTTTGAAATGTTGTTAATATTTGACAATCCCGCAAGAAGTTATAGATTACTTTTTCAAATACTTTAATTATAATGCATAACAATGAGACAGATCTGTAGTTTCCACATTCATTAGGAGATCATTTCTTAAATATGGCCGTGACGTTGGCAAATTTCCAAATTTGGGGAACCGTTATTGTTTCTAGAGGGAGTTTGTATAAAGTACAAAGTGGAGAGGAAATTTCAGTGGAAATGGATTTAAGTAATTTTGCACTGATGTCATCGGGACCAGATGCTTTGGATATATTCAAACTGTTGTTGATATCTTTAACTTCTTGATGGGTTGATACGATCTGCGTTAGTGAGTTGGAATTTTGTCTAATAGAGCGGAAAGTGGTGTAGGTGTCGTTTAATTCGGATTGTTCAATGAAGAAATTGTTGAGTGAATTAGCCTTATCTTCTGGGGTAGAAAGAGTGTCTTTGTTCACAAAAAGGGTGGCATATCTCTCTAAGTTGTCCATTGGCCTTTCAGAAATGAGTTAAATATTTTCCAAAGGGTGTTATTTCCAAAATCTTCTGAATCATTAATTTTATTGTCAAGTTTTTAATAGTATTTAATTTTTGCAGTTCGGATAAGATTAATATATTGGTTGCCGAGATCTGAAATGTTGCCAATGGATGTCATGATTCGTTGCTTTTTGTGTATTCCATTTTCCTTTTTGCGTAATTTCCTAATTTCTCCGGCCATCCATGGTTTATCGGTGGGCCGAATGGTTACAATTCGATTAGGTGTTTGACCTTGGCATTTGATATTAACTCACTTGTGATTTCTATAGAAGCACGGTCAATGGCTTTTCCATCTATCAGATCGTACCAATTTTTTTGCCGTTGTATCCCGTTTTAGTTTGTCGATGTCAATGTTATTGTAATCCCATGCCGTTCTTTTAAAACACTGTGCCTTTGAAATTTTTAAAGATAAGTCGCATGGTACAGGGCAATGATCACTGCAGAAATTCAGGAAAATTATGTCAAGATCAAGTCAATTAAATTAAAGAATTGTTGCCGTTTTCCTGGTATCTTGTAGGTGCTGTCACTAACTGTTCGAATCAAGTAATATTATGGCGTCGAGTATTATCGAGTGTGTATTCCGTAACATGTCAATAATAAAATCTCCTACTATTAAGCATTTATAAACATTGTCATTGTTAGCCAAGAGAAATGAGTCAACGATTTGATTGTCAGTTTTCCTATCGGAGTTTGGGGGTCTGTAGTAAGAGCAAAGTAAGCAAAAGTGATTCGATAGACTTGTTCTCAAGATCAGTACGACGTTTGAACGATATGGTATTACGTACATAAACAGCGAACCCTCTCCCGTTGCTGTTAGTCCTATCTTTGCGTATTGGTGTACAGTAGCTTGGAATTAAAATGGTGGCATTTGGTATGTTTTTAATTCAGTTATAGATATAATATCAAAGGCAGATAATTCTGCGGGAATAGGTTAACTTTTTTTCTTAGGCTATGCACGTTGTTGTGGACAACGGACAAGGGACTTGGGTGGAGGACTGATTAACGGAACAACAGCCGTAAGAGACGGGCGACGTAGCTAATGGACCTGGATTGGGTTCTGCATTACCTGATAATATAATTACCCTGATTTAAAAAAATATATGACAGATAAATGAGAGGTTTAAGAATAGGAGTATTGCTGTATTATTTTGTAAACGTAGGTGCACAGTTCGGGTAGGGTAAGATTTTTTTTAAATGATCGAGAGTTCTTAATATTATTAAGTAGTGGTATATACAACCAAATAGGGGAAGATCATAAGTTGTCATGTTTCGAGTATCCGGTCGAAATATATCGGGCCCAGAGGCTTTGGATAATATTAATATTAAAGTTATAATTGAAAATCTTCCGGCCACAGTTTTGTGTAAATTTTGCTATCAAGTATATATTTCAATATTATTCAAGAAATAAAGTCATTGTCTGTAACTAGCGGAAGGTATCTTTGTAGTACATAAATTTACGTAGACATTTGGATATAAATTAGTGATGTTCATACAGTAAATACATTATCTACAGTAATATAGGTATCCATTATTCCAATAAAGCTCATACAGTAGATACATTAGCTATAATAATTCATGTCAAATGTTTCAATATAGTCCATACAGTAAAAACATTAGCTATAATAATATGGAATCAAATGTTCCTCAAACAGTATAGATACACAAGCTATAGTAACATGGATATTCAATATTTCAATGCTATTCACAGTAGATACATTATCTACAGTAATATGGATATCAAGTATTCCAATGTTAAACATACATTAAATATACTCTTCAAAAAAAGTAGGGGATATTGAAATACAAATACCTATGCAGGTTGTGATATGATAAATAGTCATGGACAGTTGACATGCTTTGAGAGTATGTTCACAGATGAAGAACTTGTCGCCCCAACAGAACCACTGAGCTGCACATGCGACAAGCAATAGCGCCATACACGTGGGAGGGGTTCATTGTCAAATGTGACACTTCAAGGAAAGGTTGATGAAAAATGCCGCGTGCTGGTTTATCTATCCATGTTAGCATTCCTATCGGTTCTTGCATAAGATTTACTGTTTAGCGTATCTTTGCTTTAGTGTGTTACGTTTAATTTGATTGAGAGACGTGTTCGTCGACGTGAACCGGCAACACTGCAAGAATTGGCCGTGGCAATTCAAAAGGAGTGGGTCAGATTGCCCCAAATCGTGATTGGACGGTTGATTAGGAGCATGCCACGCCGAATTGCCGAGGATTGGTGGAGTAATTACTCATTATTAGGACAAAAATCAAAAACGTCCATTTTCACTTTTGACGGTGTATCTCTTTGCGAGTGAAATGGGACCGTCAGATAAGCCGCCCATATGAACTGTTTATGTTCATGTGTAGGCAATTAGCCTGTTATTAACATACACTGGTTACCTCTAATAAAAACAGCAGTGCATTTCCGCAGTATTGTATTGTGTCTGAATATCCCCTACTTTTTTTGAAGAGTATACATGGAACACACATTACATACATTTTCTATGGTAATATAGATATTAAATATTGCAACGTTGAACACACAGTGCATACATTATCTATAACATATGGACATCAAATGTTTCCATGTTGAATATACAGCAAATGCATTATCTACAATAATATATATTTCAATGTTGAATATACAGTAAATACATTATCTGTAATAATATAGCTATCAAGTATTTTATAGATGTTTAAGAAGTAGATACATTATCTATAGTAATACATGTAAACTAAACAGCAAAAAAAAAAAAAAAAAAAAATCGTCAGTACGATTTCAACATCAGAGACATTAATCAAATCATTCGAGAAAACGACTTACTAAATGGATCAGTATGTTGACACATTAGTGATTAATTCATCACAATTCAAAGGTTTAGAGTCTGTACACAGTCTATACATCAGTATCTGTTGTGTCCACCGCGAGTGTCAATAGCCAGCAGCGCAGCGTCTGTATATGGAGTGGACCAGACG